TAATCGCAACCCTTCGATCCTCCCGCGGCGAGTAATCGGCGAGCAACGATCTCGCATCGGCTCTCGGGGAGAAGGCTTAAGATATTAAATTATGAACGCCGGTGGTCCGATAGGCGCGCGCGTCCCTCGGGAGAAATAATAGGGTGTCCCATAAGTTCCTTCCGCATCGTGTATTCATGTCCTATGAAAAAAAAAGGAAGAAACTTATGGGACAACCTGATGATATCCTTCGATGCGAGGATGGAATCGGGGACGACTGAATCTTCGAAATTCTCAAAATTTTTCTTTTCCTGGGCTCCTTATAGGATTGCCGATTTTTAAGTCCTAACCTAACCTATCGACAATCGGCACGAACTTTGCGGATGATCCACTGGATTGCCTCGGACTTCTATATCGGGAGAATCCGGGGAAGAAATTCGGCGCGCCGCTTCCCGGGGTCGTTGCACGGGGTATCCCCGGTGCAACGGGCAGCCCTGGGCCGGACGCCCGATGTCTTCAGCACGGCGAATATAGTGGCGAGCGCGCGGAATGGAAAGCTAAAAAATGGCCGCAACGGCCGACCGGCCGGGCGCGTTCGGCGAGGTCGCGCCGCGCCGCGCCGCGTCGCGTCGCGGTTTCGAGAACGCGGCTCGGACGCGACGGGGATAAAAAACCGCGTCCCCCGAAATCTCCCTCGGCGCCGCGAGGAGAACCTGTCGTCGGGCGCAAGATGGCCGCCCCCTCGACGAGACCCGGGAAAGAAAAAAGAAAAAGAGAGAGAGAGAAAGAAAGGGAGCAAGCCACGTCACGGAGCCGCGAAACGTTAAAACGGTGTCGCGGCCAGTCCGCGCGGTAACGCTCGATCGAGTTCCCGGGGGCAAAGTCGAGCCGAGATGCCAGGACAGGGTACCCGGTTACGGGGGCAGGGCGAGGTACTCCCCGGGTCCCTTATGCGAATTAACGGAAAATCCCCGCAAATGTTACCCTCAAGCAAAAACCTGAGTATTAATACGTATATTTTTCTTCATTTCCACGTTATTTCGATTTGAATTACCGGCTAAACGAAAGGGGGACAAAAGATCATTCCACGATTTTCATCCCGTCGGCAAGATGGCGCACCACGAAAGAATTCATCGTTACAGAATATCCGTTTAATTAAAAGAATACAACTTAATTGTAACGAACTCTCAATTGCCGTGAATTCGAAAAACGTTGCGTCCTATTTATTCGAGTAACCCTTGGATGAACGAAACATTTCTTCGGTTCGATGTAATCTTTTCCTCCCGTCGGTGCTACCCGCATCCAGTCGTGTCACGTGGTCGGAGCTCGAGGGACCACGTGACCCGCGGGTCACGTGGCCCTTCGGGACGTATCGAGGCGGCTCGATCCGCGATCGATCCCCATCGCGGCGGCGCTCGGATTTCGATCGCGGCATTAACTCGAAGCTCGGCAAGCCGGGTAGCCTCTTGCTCGGCCTCGGCAAAAGCGAGCGAGAGAGCTCGCCGGCCGAACTCTCGAGGCTCCGAGGTAGAGAGGCTCACCGTTCACGAGAAGGAATGCGGCCGCGTTAGGGGGCGCAAGGACGGCGCGGGAGGGGCGGCCCGGGGTGGGGGGTCGAGGACCGACTCCTGCCGCGTAGCGAGGGCTTCGACCGACCCGCGAGTCCGAACAAGGACTCCGCGTAAGAAGTGACCCCGTACCGCCCGGAAACTTAAGGAGGATACCCGAGGATTTTCTCCGCCCCTTTTAAAACAGCGGCGGGAAGTTTTAGACCTCGAAACGACCGAGGGGTACGAACCGTCGCCGAGCACGAACAAGACATCGGGAATTTCGGGGGTCCTTTAAAATGCCTCAAAACGGTTTATAAGGGACCGCTCGAAATTGTCGGTTTCGAATCGCCAAGTTCGAGCAAGAAATCCGTATCGCGTCACTCCGGGCAATTAGAAACTCGAGTTATTTCCAGGGGACCGTTCGAAATTTTCGACTCGAGATATAACGCCGTGACTAACGACGACTGCAATTACCGTTAATTGACCGATCGTTCGAAGGCCCTCAGAAAATTCCGGCCCGGCGACTCGATTTTTCTCGTTTCTCGAACGATGGCCGATGGGGGGTTAAGATTAGACATCTCGGATTTCCCTCATCGGGGAGGGCCCGGAATGTCCGGGATTTTCGGAGGGCCCAAAAATCATTCGAGAGGGTCCCGACCGGGGCGGCCATTTTTTATTGACACCTATATTCCGGTTTAGGGCCTCGCCCTCTACGAGGCCGATTTCTGGGATTCTTTCGAAAGCCCATCTCGTCCCTCCGAGGAACTCCCCGAGGCCCGACCTGCCCCAACCCCGTCCCCCGCTCCAAAAGGTGGAAACATAACCAACAAACAAAAAAAAAAAAGGAAAAGAAAACGTCCAATCTTCTCGAAAATCCGTTCGCGACGACAATTACCGACCCACGACGCGCCGAACGGTGCCCAAAGAAAGGAAATAAAGAGGAGGGGAAAAAAATAATAAAGAAGAAAAACCGCTTTCCAATGAAGAGAGAGAGAGAGAGACAGAGAGTCCTCTTAAGGAGGGAAGAGGTGCCGCCCGATTTCATTGAGAGAGAGAGCTCTCTCTTTCTTTTTCTCTCCTCGACTCTCCTTCCCGGTATAACGGGCCCGATGTAAACGGACGTTCCAAGAGGTTAGGTAGAGAGGGCGACATAACCTAAAAGGGAAACGCCATACGTTCTCTTCGACGTTCGTTCTCATGCCCTTCCGAATGTAATATAACGGTCGATATTAGGTTTCCTTTCGCGAGGATATATAAATATAATAAATATTATAAATACTACAAATCTTAAATCAAACTCTCGGTTTACATTCCACGTCGAAAAAGACCATTGCATTTGAACGGTACGAACGGCATTTCACGGTATACTTAGAGTCTATTGAAATAGCGAGCGCTATCGCGCCACTTGGCTCCCTTCGCCCTCAATTAAGACAGTGCTATTGCGTTGTTCGGCACTGTTTTTTCTACGAGCCCTGGTCCACAAACTGATATAAAAATCTGACGAGAGTCGGCGCAGACTTTCCGGAGACATTTTCCCAGTCTCGCTGACGAGGGCCGCAAAATGGCTTCGACGTAGCGCTCGTCGATTTTCCTCGAAAAGGCGGACACCTCGAGTGCCGACATTCCCAGGTGAGCTCATCCACGGATGGAAACGCCTTCCTCGAGGACTGCTCGCCGTGTTTACGATTACAACCGCGGCCATCGAGAACCGTCGAAAACCCCGATTTCGGTAAAAGTAAACATTCCTAAACAACGCCATCGATCGTCATCACGACGTCATCACGATAAAAAGTTTTCCGGGAATCGAGCGACCGCCAGATAAAATCCTGGAAATTCTTTTTCTCTCGTTATGATATTTCCACCCCCGCGGGGGATTTAAATGCCCCCCGGGGGGCAGAGGGCAGGCTCGGGGGGTTTAAATCCCGTCCAGGTCTCGAACACGGCTGAATGGCTCTCGCTATTCATTAGGCCGTGCCAAAACCCCTTTAAAAAGGGAAGAGAGGAGACGGTCGTTCTCCCTCTCCGGGTCCCGAGGAGTTTCGAAAGGGCGGGCGGCGAGAGAGGCGATTCTATTCGCGCCACTAGGTCACCGCGAAAACTTGCCACCCCGATTCGAGATGGGCTCTTGGACGCTCCCGAATCGACCCGAACTCGACCGGATCCGGCGAACTCCAGTAATCTAATCCATCCAGTCACCACGAGTCGCGGCGACTCCGTCCACCCGGAGATCGGTCAAAAGGTCCTCAAGGTGCTTAAAAAGGATCATTTCGTGCACATGAAACGTCAAAATACTTATACAACTTTTCTCCAATCCGGATACCCGAAGTAATTTCAAATTTCATTATGGAGGCTCCAAGGAAGAACGCGAAGGTTCATCTCTCGGAAGTCATTTTTTTTATATACTCCACCCTAAGAGCGAATTTTTCTTTTTTTCAAATCCCGATATCCTCGACCCTTTGGATTTTTCTCCTCGACGCAAGCCGTGCCAGGGTCGATTTACGGTCAGTTTTGCAATAAATCCCGGCTTGTAAGGTATGGAACGTCCAAGACCTTCGTCATTGTCCCTGCACAATTGTCGTCTCCGAGATGACCCCTTAATTTTCCGCGTAAATCCCGATCACGAGTGCATATATTCTTCCCTGCGGGATTTATCCACGGGGCCTAACCTCCCTCGCAGCGTTCCGCCCTCGTCTCGAGGACGCGTCGCGTCGGTTGCCCGTCCACTCCACGGTAAGAGCGTCGCGTTAAGCCCGCAAGGTTATCACCGTCCCCGACCCGAGGAAGTTATTTCGATTGTTATCTAAAATATCGCAAGGCCAGTCTCGGCAGCGGTCGAAAGCTCGAAAGCTCTCCGCGAATGGTAAACTGTAAACACATCCGCGAGTCGTCCTATTCCCAAGCCGGCGCAAAACGCCGCAAACTCTGTCAAGGCCGACTCATCGCGCGAAACGTAATTACCGGCGAGCAAGGTCGTTTACCCTGGACTGTTATTTCCCCGGAGAGAATATACGTAAGCGTCGGATTAATCGCGCAGTCTCTCTCTCTCCATTCAGTCGTCACTCTACCTTGTGCCTCAACCCCCGCCTTTCCGCGAGGCCCGACCCAACCCTTTACAACCTACGATCAGTCGGATAAACATCGCTTTCGGCATCTCATTTTTTTTTTTTTTTCTAAATCATCGGTAAAGAAGGGTGAGACCGAGAAGCCGGAGGAAGCCGTGCTTTTTCCCCCCCGTTGATTTTCCGGAGTACCGACGCGCGCCACTGGCGATAGGATGCGGGCTCGCCGCGCCGCGCCGCGAGGTCAGGTCCGCGGCAGGGTCGCGCGTCGCGTCGCGTCGGCGGCGCGCACATAGGGACCGATTAGCGCGCGTCGGCTCCGCAGCGTCATCGCGTCGCCGCGGTCGCCATCTATCCCAGAAATCCTCGCACTCGCGGCCCCCCGAGACGAATATCTCAAAGCATAGCTTACCTTCGTCGAGTAGTCGCTCCACGTGTATGAATACATTGGGGAAGGCGGCGAGCTGCTTCCTGTCCTTGAGCAGCTGTGACAGGTAGTCCGCGATACTCTGGGTCGTCGTGTTGGTATTATCGCACATCGCAGCTGATGGGTATGACGGTCCTACCGCGAAGTCGAGCGCGGAGTCGCGCGATACGTTCGGCGAGGCGACGAAGACGAGAGTAGGCGCGGGTCCGCGGAAGGGAGCGAGAAGGAGGAGGCGAGGCCGCGTGGCGAAGCGGCGGGCGCGTCGAGTAGGGCTCGGAGGAAGAGAGCGCCGGATGCGACGTGCCGTCCACGGCTGCTCGTCCGTCACTGGCGCTTAGGCGGCTCTGCTCTCGGCTCGACCTGTCACTGCTCGAGTACCTGCGAGGGCGCGCGCGCGCACAGCTGACCTGCCGGGCGAGACCGCGGCCGGAGGATTCGGCAGCGGAAGGGTGGTCGAGAGAGAGATAGAGAGAAAGAGAGAAAGAGACGAGAGAGAGCGAGAGAGCGATGAGAGCGCGGCCCCTCTCTCGCGTGGATATACTCGGGTTAAGGTTACGGGCCTGCGGACTGCCAACGGGGTGTAAGTACGCGCGCTACGGGACTCTCGGCTCTACTGGCCGCGTACTGCGCCGCGCGCTGCGTGCTCCGGCCCCGAGCCCGGGCGGCGGCGGCGCGCATGCGCTCCCCGCCGCCGCGGCCCTGCGCCTGCGCGGCCTCGGCGGCGCGCGCCGCTCGCGACGACGCACGCTCGCCCGCCCACTACCATATACGGACTCCGCGGACTTGCACGGTCTTGCCTGCCGAGGGATCGCGGCCAACCGTGGCCTGCCGCCCTGACCGTAAGCCACCGTCGCCGAGGAACTCGTCATCGGACCCGCCCGACCGCTCCGTGGCCCTCGTGGGGTTTTACAACCCTCCGTCGAGTGGAATAAAAAATGAGCTCGATCCCTCGTCTTCCTAACGACAGGGTGCACGGGGCATGCGCGAGGGAAGAGAGCCACCCTTTCCTCGGGGATGGACCCGTCCTCCGCGAATCGCAGCCAAGCCCCGCACCCCAGAATGGAGGAGCGAAGACGAGGGGACGTTTCCCCTGCTCGAAAGGGGCTGTCCACGGCGCAGCGGGGGGCCTGAACCAATGGCCCGTCCTGCATAATGCATGGCGTCCGCGTAGCGGGAGATATACAAACGCGCATCCCTTACGTAAGTTTTCCTCATCTCTCCCGTCCTTGCTCGGGTGGCTCTCTCTCTCCCGCTCCTCCGAAGCTTCCGCCGAGAGTGACCCGAATCGGACCGCTTTCTCGAGTCGCCGCGCCCTCGCGATTCGAATCTGGCTGCGCGCGCAGCTCGGTCCGGCGACAGCGACTCGGTTGGTCCGCGGCCGGGAGGCGAGACTCGGTTAAACGGTCCGTCGCGCTCCGAGTGGCGTGAAAACGAGCGGGGCCGAGCGCGGTCGGGCGTCTTCGGGCGCCTTCGGCCGCGCTCGGCCCTCTCCGACCGCGACGCGGGAGGCGCGCCGTCCTGGGTGCTGCCGGGAATTTCGTATCTGGTATCGCGTTCCCTCCCGATCGTTACCGATCGGTTACAACCCGTCACCTCGTAAACGCCCGGAGGAGAAAGCGCCCTGGAAGCTGCGGCCCGTTCTCGTCTCTCCCTTTTCTCTCTCTCTCTTGTTTTCCTTTTCCCCCTCCTCGGGGTTACGACGTGCCTCATAAGTTATTCCACCCGGGGACCGGGCACCCACGTCGTGCTCGGTGCCCGCTTCCGGTCACGCCGGACGGCCTTACGCGGTTGCTTGATTTAAGGAAACGACGTTTACACCGGAAACGCTTTTAGGAAACGGGGCATAACTGCCGGAGAAAGCCCGAGTTTCGGGGATTTCTCCCCGAGAACCAGCCGATCGCCTCTTTCACCTTTCCAGGGTTCTCGAAAACTACGTCCACGTCGGGAAATTCGACCGTAATGGCGGATGATCCTTCCGAGACGGCTCAGAGTATACAACGAATAAATATAATTCCTCTTGGGCATACCTTAGGCCCATGGTACTAAGTAACTCGGGCGTTACATCAGTGCTCGAGTCCGTTACGATCTCGCAAAGTGGTGTGCCTCGGAATGCATAATTAATAACCCTGCCTACTCGATTCCAATCCGTCCTGCGCATTGCATCGCGAGGCGTGACGGAAAATGCCGGGAGGCGGCCGAGAGAGAAAGAGAGAACAAGGCGACAGTTTTAGTGCGCACATAATAATGGACCCGGGGGGGGGAGAAATAAAAATCTCATTAAGCAACGTTTCGCAACGTATTCGACGAAACCCACGACCGCCGCTGCGACTCGCTTGTCCACTTCGATAGGGAAATCGTTAACGGTAATGCATAGGACGAATTGTAACGTTTCGAGTGTCTTTCAGTGTTCCTTTGTTTCGACTTTTTTTTTTTCCTTCCAGCCGTTTTGCGTAATGGGGCTCGTCGGCTTGGCGATTGCGTTAATCGATGCACGTCCCGGGGACCGGCAATTACGTGGTCGAACCTCGATAACGAGCCGATCAGGTGTAAAGTAGGAAGCTACGAGGGTACTCGTGGTTGGGCAACCCGCGCGCATGCGCACGCATTGAATAAATCATTCGTAATAAACCGTTGTGCAAGGAAGCAAGTAAGAGCGCACCTTTGCAGTTTGCCGCCTCCCCCGGTAAGAAAGATTCAAGGGGAGGGCGATGGCGCAAAACCGTCCCGTTTAACGGAGACGGAGTTGGGCCGCCTCTTTGTCTTCTTTCCGGAGGATTTACGAAAGATGAATCAACCAGCTCTGGCCGGAGTCGAATTTTGCCTTTAATAGATCCCCAGGAGCGGGCTTCGGTAGCTTTCCGCCGCGTGGGCGTATTTTCTGCGCGCGGCATTAATAATTAATAATGCAAGGCATTAATAATTAATAATTAATAATTCAAGGCATTAATAATTAATAATTAATAATTCAAGGCATTAATAATTAATAATTAATAATTCAAGGCATTAATAATTAATAATTAATCATTCAAGAAACCGAATCGTTACGTGATCTCAAGTTCTACGCGCAAAAGAAATTTAATTCAAGAGTACCGAGGAGCGGCCGTGGCTTATGGCGGAAACTTAGTCTCACGGGGAAAAATGCATTTGGCGCGAGACGCGGGTAGGTCGCTCGATAAAGAAGCCGAGCCAAATTCGGGAATGGCGATTTGAATTGGAATTATCGAAGTTACATGTTTCGTGGCATTCCCGGGGAGGCGATATTCCTAGCGAGCGGGTTGGCCAACGGGCAATTAAATCGGGAGTATCGGTGGGCCGAACAAGTGAAAAGCAGTTTCCCCCATTTATAGCAGTCCACCATTGGGAAGTACTTCTGCGAAAGTCGTTTCCCAATGATGTCGAGTCAACGCAACGGCGACGCGCCATGCAACTGCGACTCCGACTCTTGACTGGCGCTCCATAAAGGGGAAACTGCAGGTTGCACCGGCGACAACGGTAGTGCACATCGGATCGCCTAATGGATCCGCGAGCTACTTCTAAAGGAGATCCCCGTGAAAATTCCGGATTTTCCCTACCCAGCCCGTCCGAGCGGAAAAATGGAGAGCCGACAATAAGTCGCACTTAACGGAACCTCGAGAAATACTTAAGAAATGCATAGGGAACCGCAGGTTGCATCGGCGCATCGCGACTGCACTCAGAGTCCCCGCAGGTGACTCCCAACGGGTCTGCGAGCTATGTCGAAGGAAATCGAGAATTTCGGAATTTCCACGTCGCCTTTCCTACGTGAAAATCGCCACGGGGTATTATCTTAGATCTTCCGAAAGTACGGAGGAATCCGCGCAAGGTTGCCCGCGGGATTTGTATTTTTCTTTCCGTCGAAACGCAGCGAGTCGGTTAAGACGTCGATCGTAGAACCGCCTTGGTGAGCTCCCACGGGCGTTACCTTCTATGCCGTTGTGCGCCTACACGTATATTGGTTAATGTAAAGTACCACTGACGTCACTTGTCCATACATGGCCGGCCGAGGAATCAAGTGGGAGTCGAGCGCCTTTTTTTACAAGCGACATTCTATTCTGCCCCGGCGAGCCGCGAAGGACCTTCCAATTTCTAAATAGATCCCGAGCAATCGGCGCACGTAGGTGCATCTCGGGATCTAGTCAGCCTACGAGTGGAAATCCGATGGTTTCTTATCCTGGCCGAGGCCCTTTGTCGCGGGCTATCCGTAAAGCCATTTATCATTTCGTCCTCCGATCCGTTGCATCTCGAGGCGGTGCACCGCAATTTGCGCCTCCAGAGTCCCGCGGGCAGTTTGCTCCGAAACTTTCGATTTCGCTTTTAGAATCTCCTCGACGCAAGTTCCAGGTCCCTTGGAAAAAGTCCCGAGACCGATCCTGACTCCTGGTCGTCCGTCGATGGAGCCAGGATGAGTCTTTACGTGCGACTCGCGTACCGCGCCGGAGTGCACGATGGATGGCGTAAAACGTTATTTTTATGACCTTCGTGTCTCGATACCTCTTTCTTTTTCTCGTCCCCCGAGAGGCAGCCTGGATGCCCCGTGTACTCCTCTCGGGAGGGAATATTAATCTCCCGGTGTTGGGCCGCCAACGCACTTTCTACTTTCATAGATGGACACGAGTGTCGGTACTGTCGGCCTCTGTAAATGGACTCCCCGGTGTAAAATTGACTCGCAATCTCGGCCCACGCTCGGTCAACCCGGAATAAACAGCCGTAGAAATCATTTCCCCCCCTTCCCCGTCTCTCCTTCGAATCGACTTTTTCTTCCCTTTATCGCCTTTTACCGGAGACACCTTTTCCAAGGAATTTCCGATCCGTTCCTGCGTCTCGGATACAGGAGTGAACCCAATCCCGAGAACGTCATCGGACCGACTCCATTTTCCCACTTCGAATTTTATTTTTTACAAGAAACGCCGAATTATATATCATAATATATATATAATCACGATAACGCATTACCTAGGACATTCGCTACCTAGATGACTCCTCTTGGGTCGTTGAAATTACCTAACTAGATGCTAGTTTCGCTTAAACTTAATCTAGCCGAAATTCATTAAGTTATCCTCCGATGTTTGAAATGTTCTTAAATGTCGCTAACGATCCGTTTCAGAGAACTCCTCGTCCAGCTGATTTTAAACGATTCCACGGTCCTCTTCTGGAAGTGCATCCCATCTCCGGAGCAGGTGGGCAGATCAGGGCAGCTCGTCCAAAGATTACCTGCTAAATTGTCTCTTATCATCGGAGGACTTGCCCACCTGACGGTAGGTCTTGCTGCGCTTGATCTCCCTCTCGGCGTTGGTATTGTTCATGTTCTTGAAGTAGCCATAGCCACCTCCGCCCAGCCTCTTTCTCGGCCGTGACTTCTTGCTGACTCCCACTTCTGCGCGTTCATAACCTCGTTAAGGAAGATAGAAAAAGGAACCAACCGAGCCGGCGTCGTTTTATCGGCCAACCCACCTCCGACTTTATTCCCGGCCAAAACGAGTCCGCCAAGCCGCGTGGGAAAGGACAGGCAAAAAAAAAAAAAAAAAAAAAAAAAAAGAAATCAATGAGAAATTGATAAGGCTATATCCCCGTTTGGCGAAAAGCGCCGACGTGACCGTCAAGAATATTCGTCGAATAAAAAGAGAATCCCGGATGAAGCATCGATCGTCCTGAACCGCAGCCAAGTATACCGAAAGCGAAGTGCGCAGATTCATTTCAAGCCCGGATGATAAATATGCCCGTGCCATAATTTCCAGACATCTGAATACGAGAATGAGAGCTATATGGAAGCCGTTTCGTCTCATCCGGCTACCGAGGGTAAATATACTACGAATATCCTGAATATGAGATACGGTCTCACAATATTGTACTTCAACTCGGCGTGTCCGATACCGCTATCGAGAGGGATGCATAAATCAATTCCTGGCCTGCCTGTGGATATATCCCATCTGGATGAGAATCGATCGCCGTTAAAAAGGATACTCAGATCAACAGCCGGAGGTACGGTGAACCCGAAGGACTTGGCCACCTTCGCGAGGTCCAGACTCTCCACGTCGAAGATGTTCTTGAGGTGGTGCGAATCGTAGGCTCTCACGTAGGCCTTGAACGCCTCCTTCGCCGAGATGTTCAAAAAGTAGTTCTTCGAGATCAACTTCTCCAGCTGAAACAGGAGGATCCAGTTTTATACCCCGTACAAAGCTCTGGAGAGCTCGACCGCGTCGTGCGGATCATTCGGGACGTCGCGATCCTTCCGCATGGATTTTCACTCCAAGTCTCTATTAGATTAGATACCCCTTGCGCTTGGATTTCATTCTGACAGATCTTGCAACAAATCACCATTTAATTTGGGTTAGCACCTGCATAACACAATGGCGCAGTTGGCGATTAAAACCTCACGACGAGTCTAGCTCGTCATAGCAGCTTAAAAAATTCAAATGAAGGAATGGTGACAAAGAATGCCTCATAAGTAGAATATTAAGTTAAAGGATACCGAACGAAGAAGAGGACACTCCTCGAGACCGAAAATCAAGTCCAAACGACGAGCACTTCCTCTCTTCGCTGGTCCCGCCGTCATTGCGTTCGGAAGGCGGCCGCTAATTTATTCAAGCATTCTGGGCATTAACCTTGAAAGCCGTGGACGCGCGTCCGTGATTTCGACGCCCCTGGAAGTCTCATCCGAAAACCGATCGTTGTTATTCCACGGCCACATGACCCATTGTCGTTTCCTCGATCGAGGCTCGGTGACCTCGGTCCCCGCGAGTTGCGCGCGCAGGACCCAAGATGGCGGCGAGTAGCTGCGCGCGCACCCGATCGAGGACCAAGGGCTCCGAAGGATCCCGTTCTTGTCCCTATCCCGAAGCTTCGCCCGACCGACTATACCCGCGATTCGTAAATCGCAATGAGAAAAGGGAAGAGAAACCGGTAGTCGGCGAGCCGCGACCTGCGTACCCGAGGTCCGCGTGGGTACTTTTATAATATAATCCACCCAAAGCCGCGGGATTCTGGATCGGATTGAGTCTGCGCGAAAAGGGAGTGGTGCGTGAATCACTCGCGTGGGCGCCACCCCTCGGGTGTTTTGGTCTCTCTCTGGGCCGCGGTCCCTCCGATGCGTCGGTCTCTCTCGGCCGGTCTCCGGTTCCCGCAGCGCGGCGGCTCTTCTGTCCGCGGCTTTGCTCGGTCCTCGCGTCATCTCTTTCTCTCTCCGGCATCCTTTCGAGCTCTTAGAACGTAAACAGCGCATTCGCTCGACGCCGGTCGACGCGATCGCATCAGGGGTGTATTTCGGGACCCGGGGGAAGAAAACTGGGCAACGAGGAACTCACGAATACAGGAAGTATTACGTCAACGATAGAGGGTAGACATAGAGTAGTTTCTTCCATAGAGTAAAAAAAGAAAAAAGAAGCCTCTCGTCTCGTAACGCACTCGAGAACGAGGAATCGGTTTTTGCGAGTCGCCCAGTTCGCGCGAGCCCGATTTCGGCGTCTCTCGGCGTCGTCGCCGGCGTCCTCTTATTTCCCCTTCGCGCGCCTCTGGACGATTCGATTCCTTGTTTTTCCCCCGCATCCTCTCCTCGTGCGTTCCCGTTATAACGATTCTACGAGTACAAAAACGAATTGGACGATCGCGGCGACCGTAGCTTCTTCTTCTTTTTTTTTCCCCTCTTCCCCCCCTCGAACTCTTTACCGAGCGCCGTGCCTTTTTAGGAGCGGCCGACCCACGTAACGCGCGGCCTCTTAACGCTTTTATCCAATGAGGAGATCGATTCACCAATTACCATTAAACCCCCGCACAATTGACAGACCTATAAAGGGCTTTCTGTCAATTAGACAGCCGCGACTAATGACTCGCGAGTCTCGGTAGAAAATACTCGTCAAAGGTCTCCGAACCACCGGGTACCCTCGATCGAGATGACTTTCCTTTATCAAGGGAAAAAGTAAGAAAGAAGTAAAGAAAAGTACTGAACTTTTTTCCCCGGCGATGATCCGAGCACGAGACGTCCCGTAGAGAGTGGAGGACTTTCTCCGAAACTCGACCATCTCCGGGCGCTAATTTTAGTTGAAATAATGTTACTAAGATGCAAACGCGACGTTACTACCCGCGCGCACGTAAGCATTTAATTTTAGTACAATGCATTACAATCTCGGCGGAATTGGCCAACTTCTGACCGACAAAGCTACTCCTCAAGGTTCTCCTCGGCGATGGGTTTTACGGTCTACTCAGAAAATCGGGTCAATTGCGGCAACAACCTGCTAATGATCGGCCGACTTTGTATGCATCGACCGGCTGTCGGCAGAGTTTACGACCCTTCACGGAAGCACATCCTTCGTTCGGATGGGTATTTAGATGAAGCCCAACGTGGAGATGACATCTCTACATTCTTAGGAAAATAATGGTAGCTAGAGCTCAAGTGACGCCCCTTTAAATCCGGGTCCTCTCAACGCTGCGCAAAATGGCCCCGAAATGCCGGGCTCGGTAACGCGCGTGGTCGGTGAACGGTTGACGTAGGGAAATATATCGCGGCTCGCGCGGAAGGGGAAACGTTACAGCGCGCTAAAAAGCGCTCGTCTGACTCCGCCGGCTTGCAAAATCGTATAACTCAGGTGACATTGTGGCGATAAACGGAATTTATACGCGGAGAGTTACCGCCTGCGCACTTTCCTTCTCGCCGACCATAATCTAAGTTCCGAGCCAAACGGCACTTGTCCCTCTTTATAGCGCAAGACAAATGCAATTGAGCTCCGTGCGGAGGAATTCTTTAGTGCTCTTTGTTACGCAGCCGTAGAATACGCGGAGAAAAATAATCTCGTTAGCGCAGTAAAAACAACCTAACTGCTGGCCTGTCGCTACTTAACTACGGTTTACACCACTGAGTCTGCAACGGGTCTTCCGAAGATAATTCTTTTTGATAATAATGTGCGACATGTGGATTTTCTTGTACACGAGACACGTACCTGTAGCTGAATGTCTGCGATCTTGTTCCAGGAAAAATCAAATTCGTTGACGGGTACTTTGGCTTGTTTCAGGTAACGAAGAAAGCCTAATTCCCCTGGCTGCAAAATTAACAGTGCGTGGCCACTACCTCCTTGACCTCGAGCTGTTCTACCGACTCGATGAATGTATTCCTAAAATTCAGGAAGTACGTTTCGGGTTAGGATTCACTCTGAATATTGATTTTAATCTTTATGTGTACGTACCTTTGGATCATCCGGAGGATCGTACTGCACTATCCAGTCGACACGGGGAATGTCAAGACCTCTGGCAGCTACGTCGGTACAGAGCAGAATTCCAGAGTCGGCGTTGCAAAATTGGAAAAATGTTGTCGTTCGTTTCACTTGTTTTTGTTTCCCCTGTTATATTACCATGCATGGATGTAATTAATACAATACTTTGAAAAACATTAAACTATCTCTAATAAATACTTTCACACTTACGTGTATGCACATAACTGGCAGGTCGATATAATTCAACAACTCGTGATGATATTTGACCGACATACAGGAACTAAAGAACACCATGAGCTTTTTCTTACGGTTTTTCTTTAAAAATGTAAAAAGTAGGAGGAAACGTTTTTCTGTCGGGCATACGACATAACCTTGTTCTAGGCCGTCTACAGTTGCTTGCTCCTTCTCGTCGTCAACACCAACGTATACTGGTTCCTTTTTTAAAGCAAGTGTAGTTATAGTCTCAGTCTTTTTCGTCTGCGTGGCACTGAAAAGCATCGTTTGCCTTCTTTCTGTAATTTAAAATATAAATTTGGATATAAAACTAGAAATTTTTTAATTTGTATACCGCTTGAAAATTTAGTATTTTACAAACTTGGTAAGATATTGATGATTTGTTTTAGTTCTTCCTCAAATCCAATATCCAAAATTCTATCAGCCTCGTCGATGACAAGGCATTGAAGATTTTTATAAAGAAAGTCCGGGGTGTTTTGCAGGTGATCCAATAATCTTCCAGGGGTAGCAACCAATATATTAATTCCCTTAGACAGCTTTTGAGCTTCCGCCTGTCTACTAGCACCACCCATTACCAAGCCATACGTATGGTGATGATACTTCATCAATTCTTTTAATACTCCAAACGTTTGCATAGACAATTCACGAGTTGGCGATATTATTATACAACCAGTTCCTGACAGGATCATAAAAATATTATATTCAACGTAATAAATTCTTTTCCTAATTTTAATCAGATTAAAATTATTCGCCAAACAACTTACCATTACGTGGCATAAATTTTAGCTTGTAGATCAATTCTACAGCTGGGATCAGAAACGCCAGTGTTTTTCCAGAACCTGTCTTCGCTGCACCAACGAGATCTCTTCCTTCGAGTAATGGAGGAATAGCACGTGCCTGTATTTCAGTCATATCAGTGAAACCCATATCATTCACTGCCTTCAATGTGTTTTCGCAAATTTTATCCTCCAACGAGGAAAACGCTGTATCGTCCATCATCCTGAAATGCTCGGTACTACCTGTAAAATACGTGTCTCTAAATTAAATCTTCCATTATTACGTAATATAACAAGTAAACTATTGAAAACAATAAATAAACTCAGCTAAATAAATAAATACATACTTGAGTTATTGATGATTCTAGAGGTTAGATCGAGAAAGGTTAGAAATCCATACCGTGGAAGTATTTATTGAAAATCACTCTACAACATTCCCAAGTAACAATGTCACGTTATACACGATTATAAAATGTAAGCGTGTAAACAAACATTTACACTAAATGTAGAAGTTCAAACTTTGATAATTTTATAAACCGACACGTGCGACCGCGTGCGTGTACAACCACGTCCACCGAATAACGAATGAAAGAGAGACGTCTCATTTTCGAGAAACAGGAGACGTGATATTTTTAGGACTAATTCTCACCAGGAGCGACAAACGGTATTCAACAGGATATAAACGTCTTTTAGTATTGTATAAACACGTATTCTATTACTTAACTTGGGAACGCTCTTTATTAATGTGATATAAACTTATTAACACGGACGAGTTGGGAGCAGAGATAAAGAGGATTCCTGAATTGGGCAATCTCCAAAGAGGGCAGCACAGAATACGATCGCGCCACTCAGTTCGTGAGCTATCTCCCAATCCCAACTCATCTCTGGTAGAAATCACTTTCCCGAGATGGCAGCACAGGATGAGCTTGTTTCGACGCCATTTTGGATTGGTTCACACGCTGTGATTGGTCGTTTCCGTTAGTGCCCACTAATAGAATGGTGAGTGTTTTGCACGTTTTGTTGGCTATTACATATTGTTTTTATTTAATGGCGACCGGTATTATACCGATTATGAGATTTTGAAATTAAATTCTGTTACATAATGAATGGTATTGTTGTGATATCAATTGCATCATTTGTTTAATGGTATAACTTCTGTTTTCGAGCTTAACATGCAGTTATTCATTAATTGTTATCATTTTAGGTTATGTAAGGAAGCTGTGAACCAGAAGTTTTTCATCTTTTCTCAAGCGCTTTTAAGTGGAGGGATTCACGATGATTATTTCTTCAAACTACGTTAATTGATTTTACGAGGTATAGTTTTGTTTTTTTTTTTATTATAAGTGTATAGACCTAGTTAGGTTATGTTGGACCAAGCTTTGTCAGTCGATTTCTCAGCTGCAATGATTAATATTTTTTAAAGAAACATTTACTGTAACATTATACACTCTTCAACAGTTCAATGATTATAGGTACTAGATTCATAAAGCGCATTCCTCAAATTGATAGCAGCTTTTGTGCATTCTGTGTTGCAAACGATTTGTTTAAAAATTCTGTAGTCTTTTTATTAAGAGTGAGCAGTTGTCTAAATTGCAGTAACATCTGTAGAAGGGAGGAAAAAGGGAGAGAGAGGTATTGTAATTCTATTGGAGGGTTCCACCCTATGCTTAAACCCTTTAGAAAGGGTACATCACCCCTTTACCCATAAAAAAGGGTAACCCTTCAAAAAAGGGTAGAAAAGCTATGGAACAATTATTGTCCATGTTACTTCCGTTGATTTGTTTAGCTTTAATCGTTAAGTTCAGTTATGATATGATTTAATTTTTGTATTTTAAAGGTGATTGAAAATTATTTAAGTATTTTTATGATATTAAAAATTATGGTTTAAACCGTATTCTGTACTTTAGATTTAAAAAGAAGGGAGTCAAAACATTTCCTTCTGTTTGGTTGACTCCTATCGATTGTGACCCTTTGGCTATTGGGTTTAGAATATTTAGCTAGGGAGTGTTCCGTCTCCCAGCCAACTGGAATACGTCTCTGTAACTCTTCGTCTCTCTTTAGATTCCCAACGGAGGCCACCCTTCCTGGGATTGGTGGATGGTCGATCATGATTGGTCGGAGGAGTTGTGGGAATCTCCGTTCTGTTCTGCGTCAGGAGGGTGGTTCAGTCACGCAGGGTTCTCCGTCGTCTCTGCTTCGTGGGTAGTCTTTGTTAGAGAACGTGGGTGACAAGTGCCAATACCGTACGTTATTATACAGTTCTAATCTTAATTATAAACCATATCCGTATTTTTAAACATGTTTTTTAATAATTCCTCTAAACAGGTATCTATAAAAGAGTTTATCTTAAGGTGTAACTTAAGCAAGTGGCATAAAGTAGATTTATTTAAATCTATCCATATGCAAATAAGTAGTGAATTAATAATAACATTTTAATAATGAAGTTCAGCAGAAAACGTTTTTCCACCTATGGAAAATTATTAAATATCTTCATATTTTCCAAGTTATACAAATATTTGTTATAATTACGTTATGATTTTTTCCTTAACGCTACAAAATAACTTATTAGCTCTGAAAAAAATTAAAGAGGCACAACATTGTTATTTGTACAGAGATTGAAAGAGACGCGTTCTGTTTATTTTTTATTCCTTTGCTTTCATAATTTTATATCATAAACTATGTCGACCGAGAAGATATATTGTCCTGCATATGTGCAGGACCACCCTTTTTTAAAAAGATTTTGAGTCCCCCTTGCTAGGACAGCCCCTTTTTCACCCCTTTTTTATCCCTTCGCTAGGGTGACTTCACCCCTTTTAAAAGGGGTAGAAACCCATACAACATAAAATATTTGCCTTCCGTAGTGAAAACGTTTGCTTGAAATGTGTAATTAAAATAGGTAGGAGCATGCTAGGAGATTTTAAATTGTTCGACCGAGAAGGAAAATCTCTCGATAAAGTTTATTGCTTGATAATTTTACAGATCTCAGTAGAATTGGACAAGATTCGTTCCCCCCATATGTTGGTGTAAAGGGAAAAAATATGGTGCTGGCTTATGCTTCCCCAATCCCCTTCTGAGCTTCGAAAGGATTTCGAGACTGGGTGGAGCCTCCGTTCCCTACCACTTTGCATCCACTGGTTAAGAAGGCAAAGGGTAGGCAGTCCTTCGGCAACAGCTGAAGGAAAGGGAATCCTAACTCCTATGAAACATTGCGAATGAAAATTATTAACAGTTCCTAATTTTTAATCTGTTAATATCACACATCTTATTTGTACTCTAAATTTTATTCTAATCCGGGTGTTCTTAATTCCTAAGTTTTTAAATTCTAATTTGAAGAATAACATAATCGACGTGTGTGTGAAATTGTTGTTCAACTGAAATTACAAGGATTGCATCTTTGATACAGGTACGATAACATTTCTGTATACAGAAAAAGTAACAGTTGCGTAGCCAACTTGGTTTAATTCGTAGTGAGTTATATTATTATTTTTTAGGCTTCCTATTAATTTTATATAATTATACAACTCCTTCATATTTTTATGCACTTTCATATATATTTTATTTTCCGTATTTTATACAATTTGATTTCTTTATACTTGCAGTAGAAATGGATGTTACCAACTGAGTTTCTGTCATAACGTCGCCCTGAGCTGCTTCAGTGAACAGAAGGAGCGATCGCTAGATGGCGACACGAATGTAACATGATAGTAATTATTACACAAGATAGAAATTTCCATGACTCTGGAAAATCATCGTCCACATTTGGTACTTTATAATGTGGCCAATTAGAATAGATGATTTAGAAGAATTAAATTCTACCATTAGCTGTATTAATTATTTTAGACTATTAGCCATTTAAGAATTCTACACGAGGACATTAGGTGCCGATCAATATTCGATAAATTCATATTGTAGAATCTTGAAGTATGAGTATATATCTGCATTAGAATTAAAATCGATCGCTTCGAATTAAGCGTCTGAATGGCTTAAGGGGACCCCTCGCGATTCCGGATTCTCTGTGGACGAGAAAAAGCGTTTGTTGGCGTTTCCACGTCCGGTGGAATCGCGTTTGCTTAGCGTCGGGACTCTGAAGGAAATCCTCAAAGAAACGATATATCGGCGGACTCTCCCCCTCGCTCCCCTTCTGCCCTTAGGAGCTTTATTCCGCACCCTCTGCGCCTTACCTTGCGTCCACCCCCGGACCCCGATAACGGGGTGTTTGCATTCCTCTTCCCGAGGGACGCAGATCTGGGTGCAATTTCGAAAAGCCGATTTCAATTCCACCCCAAATCGAGGAACGTTCCAACGGAGCTTACTCGAGAGCTGACTAAGGGGGAAAAGACGTCGAAAAAACGCGACAGAGGCTCCGAATTATCGACTCCAACAAGGAGAAGGTTCCCCCAAAATGTAGGTTTTCCCTTCTTTTATTTTCAAACGTACACAGTGATAATTTCTATAATACGCGGTAATAATTTATTTTCAAATATACCCATCAATACGTACAGACATTTATACAATTTGGGATCGTTGCAGAACAATTACAGAAGATTTTTCAAAGAGGTCACTTCCGAAGGAGGTCCGCGCGAGTTCCCGGCGTCTTGAGAGATTCCGGTGATCCCTGTAATCGAAATAGAGAAAGCATCGGATTGAAAACGTGAGGAATACGCACCGAGATCGCAGGGGAGGACAAAGGGGAGCCGGAACGTCGTCGAGGGTGAAAGGGGAGGCCAGGGGCTGGAAGAATGGAGTCGACGGGGCGAAAATCATGAAGACCGGAACCGGAAACGAAGCTCATCGTTATACCGCGTCGTGACGTCCTTGCAGAAACTCCGGATCGGGGGATCGCCGTCCTGAAGAGCTGGAGAATTTCTCCGTTCCACCCTCTCGAAGAAGGAGCGCGTTTCTTTCATCCAGGTTTTCCTCCCTCGAATGTGCAAAATCGGGCGCGGATCGCCGCAAGATGGCGTCGTAACTCTTCTTCTTTCTTCCGAGGTACGCGGGGGTTCCCAGGAAAATTCGGAGCCCGCGGGGGGTCGTTTGTCTCCCCGGCGACAAGGTACGTCGTCGCCGGCGATGTTTCCATTCCCTGGGCGTCGGGACGGGCGCATAAACACATTTTTATATGACACAGCAGTTGATATATCTCCCGCGTATATATCGCGCGCGCCCTCTGCCCGGTGTTTGCCGTGGCGCCCTTTGTTCCCGGGCGGCGTCTCGCCATTGGTATTCCGTCGTGGCTTCCTCGCCTTCCGAGGCTTTGCTCTTGCACCCCTGGCAATCCCGACCACCCCTCGGAACCCCCTACCACCCTTGCATACACCCCGGAAAGCGAATACGTGATTCGTTATCGGAGGAGACGCGCCCTTGCGCTCTTCGCGGCCGCCGCCATCTTGGAATTTCTAAGGCGTCCGAAGAAATCGACCAAGCTGCCTCGTTTCTATTCCCCGACTCGTGATTTCCCTCCGCGGATTGATTTTCTGATCGGGAATATATTGCGATTTCTCGTCAAGGGATATTTCCGATTTTGAGCCAGGTTGGGGCCTCTTTTCCTTTTAGACGGTCGTCCCGTCAAATCTTGTAACCCGCGACCTCGTAAAGTTACGGGGGAGCGCACGGGAAACTTTGTAACCTCCACCCGAGCCGAAACGATGCCGCCAGGCCAATAAGAACTTTACAGCCCCGTAATGGATGCGGGAAATAATTATCTCATGAATAGATTAGTTTTAGTAGCGCATCGTAAAAGCCTCCCGAAAGACCGGTCGATCCTGCTGCGATCTTCGCTCGACTTTCGCCATGATCTTCTGCTCTCTCCTACCCCTAGGGGTTAAACCTACCCCTGTTCGCTTGGCGACGAACATCGGTGCCATGTAGCCGAACCTGTATATTTCATTAATTTGTGTAGGAAGTTTGTATGATAAGAAATTTTTTTTTCTTGAGGAGGTGGAAGGGTTCGTTTAGCGATGTCGGCAGGAACCCTTTATGCGAATGCCGCGATGGCGGAGGATCTTTCACGGGTCAGGAGCAAGGCGGGGTGATTGATCGTCCCTACTCGACACCCCCGGTGCGCCCGGAGTGGATAAAGGGGGTTGGGGGGTGAAAACCCTTTCACGCTTTTCCCGAATCAGTCACAGGATCAGGCTCCCGTGCCGCTCCCTGGAACGCAGGACATGCATCAACCCCCGTCAACCCCGACAACCCCTTCTCGCTCGCGACGTCTCTATGACGTGAAATACTCCCCTGCAACCTGCGGACATGCACCGTCTTCATTTGCAATTTTTTCCTGTCGTCTTTCATCTCAATCCTGGTGATGTACTCCTTACGCTAAATGATATACCCCTTGCGTTCGGTTTCGATTTTTTTTTCGCGTTAAATGTACCCTTTCAGAGGACTCGTCGATTTCGATTTTTCGGGATTATTGTTAATTACGCGATCTGCAGAATTTTAGGGGCGCTTTTCAAGTGAAATTAACGCCAGGGTAATGGATCGCCTCCTTTCGCGTCCACTCGTTCCACTTTCCTCGGATGAGTGGTGACATTCTCTCATACATCAGACACCTAATTCCTCCTTCGCCTCGGCCGATCGTTAACTCCATCTTATCCATTTAGAAGTTCCATTTGCCACCCCATTCGAATCTGTCAACCCCAGATGGACGAGTCATGCGGTGCCATCGACGTGTCTCCGAACTTTTTCCCTCTTTCACCCCAATTAGGGAATCGTTAAGTTACTCGATAAGTCCATCTTGCATAATTCCTAGGAAGATTTGGAACTATTTCGTCGAGGATTGTCGCCGTGTTATCGATTTCACCCCCGCCTGTCGTTTCACCCGGATATGGAGTTTCTCGAATTGTATCGGTACGCACACATCGATATTTGCCCCCCCCTCGAAATTCCCCTCCACCGCTTCGCAATCTACAAATACCTACGACAATATCGATCTGCAACTCTCTTACCAACCCCCTCGTCTTTTCTCACCCCCCCTGATTAGTCACCCCGTGAGGGAATATCTTACATTAATTAATCCGCGTCCATTAATGCGACGGGAAATAAAAATCGAAAATTTACCTTCTTTAATCGTTATCAACGATTATAAAGTTCCACTCGATCGAAGGGTGGAAAAGCGGTCGATAGGGGGAAATTGGATGCCGCGATTAAATATTTGAAAGAGTCAAGTTGATATCCTGGGAATCCCATGGGAATCCCTGCCTCTCCTTGTTGATCCTGGGAGGCCTGAATTTTCTTCGAATTAATTGACAAAGTGCTATTATCCAGTTATTACGACTTCATGGCGATATTATTATTTTATACGAGAGGGAGAGATTTTTTTTGTATGGGGAATCTAGGTTCTTAAGGCTTCTCGGGAAATGAGGTTGCAAGGGGGTTGACGAATTCAGGGTGGCTTGGGTTTATGTATTATTCGGGGCGGTGGGAATGTCCGGTCCTGGGGTGGAAGTCATTTTAAAATTGGCGACCCTGCGAGACGGACCTCCACCCCCGAGGGGTGGGATCGAAGGGGCGCCGATCGGGAGAATGTGTTTTTTCCACCCCCTCGAGCACGTCGCATGAATAAAAAATATCCTTCAAAGTTGCCAACCCCAGCGTCTACGGTCGCGCCAGGACGACCCTTCGACTTTATCCACCCCCGCGAGTCCTGGAAACAGGAATATGACCCCCGTGGAAGTCCCTCTGATCCCTCGGACGTAAAAATTACGGGGCGACGCCATTTTCCCATGGTTCCCCGATAATCCCATCACGGACGTTTCGGCATGGCGTGGCGAATAAAATGGGGGGTTAAAGGGCAAGGGGAAACCTCTTAGAAATTAAAAGTCTCAGATCCCCTTTAGCGGTGGATTTTATTTCTCCACTTTTGTCGGAAACGAAATTAGTTATTGGGTATTAATCTTTGTCATCCCCTTCGGTCCAGCTCGCCTCAATTATTCTTACCCTTTGAAATGAGGAGTTCTGTGCCCTTTTTGGTATTTAGTGAAAAATGTCAATTTTTGGATAATTTTATTCCGATGCACTTTTTCATCCTCCCCTTGGATGATCGATCTTGACCATATTTGTTGATTCAAATCGATATTCCGGAGGGAGAATTCGGCGGATCCTGGAGCGACATCTCCGGCGATTTCCTGGAGCTAACCCTAATATATTGGATCCAGTTTGCGGGGGGTGGAACTGGGCGGGGGTGACTGCGCAACGTTACGGGTCATAAACCATTCTGAGTCGCTGCGACTTTCGCCCTTATGGGAAATACGTGGGGGGTGCGTATTGGTCGGGTGCATCCCTTAGATTATTGTCTCGGAGGATGTCACCCTTTTAAAAATGCAAAACCTTCGCTCCGAAATCCTTTGTCCACCCTCCTCGGGGTGGCTGCGAAACGTCCCTTGCGTACTTCTTACTTTTGTATATTTTTTATCCTTGTATCCGAATTTGAGAACCACTGGGGGGTGTGTGCCACGGAGATAAGATGTCTCTCGCATCCCCCGAGCCCTCGATCGGGGATTATGTTGCCGTCCACGGAGACGCACCCCCTGGTGAAAACGTCGACTTGGAATATTCCACCCCCCGTATCCTTCCTCCAAAGGACGCACCCTCGAGATTATTTATTTATATATTTATGTATTTATATGTTTATCCTCCGCCGTAGGCAAACTCGATCCAGCCCTTGATCCCGGGGGCGCGCTAAAAAAGAGACGTCGCACCCCCCCGCGTCCTTCCGAAAGGGGTGAAAAAATTCCTCGCCGATATTATTTATCTATTTAGATATTTATGATATTGATATGCCTCCCTCGTAGGCAGAATTCATTTTCCCTTTGATCTCAGTCGCGGTGGAAATGGGACGTCGCACCCCTTTGCGCCCTTCCGTCAGGGGTGGAAAAATTCCCGACGACGTCGCGACTTTCTTTCCCAGGGTGACGGGAAATATCTAAGTGGGATGATTAACGATTGTCTCGCAGGGGATAGAGATTTTCTTCCCGGAGTATTTCACCCCCGGCGACGTCGTTACCCGGCCGGGACAACCCTTAAAAATACTGGCGGTGGTGGTTAGGGGGATGACGCGCAAGATGGCACCCTTATGATTTTTTAACGCGACTCGCTTTCACGGCCTTATGGCCCACCCTGCCCTGTGCCGTGTTATTTTAGAGGGGTGACTCGAGAACTTTTTTATGAATCCACCAGGAGTAAGCGCAACGTCGGTTAGGGGATGACTCTGGGGGTGTTACAAGTTGCCCTCCTGGTAATGGGCTGGTCCGAAAATGCTCTTTTCTCCTCGCGAGATAATTTTCCCTGTCCCAATAAGGGATACTCGATATTGTATTAAAAGTTTCTCGGACGTCGTTAGTTCTCGAGGCGTCGTTATACAGAATTTCTCCTCGTTAGGGGATGGACGTCCACTAGGGATAATTGGTTTTTCGAGATGGAGAATTTATTTCCGAGGGACACGCACCCCCTGACTTTTGTTTTCGCTGCCGAGGTGGGGGATGTGATTCATAAAAGTACACGACTTGACCGGCATGACGTTTTCCATAAAAGCGATAAATGGCCCAAGTCCCATGGGACGGTTGCTTTCCGAATGGATCCATTTTTTTTTTTTCGAACAGCCATAATTTAGCTACCCCCAGTGCCGTCCCTCGTCCCATATTTTCCTAACACCATGAAGAGGTTACGGTGTAACATCATATTCCAATAATTCTCAAAATTTCATAGAAAAGAAAAATCAGAAAAAATGTGAAAAACTCATTTAACTCGACGAATTCCGGGGTGGAAAAATCGGGAAAAAATTGCAGGAAATCTCAGCACGAGTCCCATTAATGCGCATTTCTCGTCGCGAGGGCGTTCCCCATTGCATCCCTCCAACCCCCATGGTCCCGATTCGCCACGCGTTTCACGACGTTTTACATGACGCCCCTTGAACTAGGGGGTGAAATCTACGGGAAGACTTTACACGGGCGTTATAAGCCGGTTCACTTCATTTAAAGATCGTCGAGGCTCCTAGGGGTGGTTTACGAGCCTCCCCTCGGTACGGGGCCGCCAATGGGGTGGCTTTTATAATCCCACCATTCCGGTTCACAGTTCATTTGCCTGGCGGTGGTTTGCGCCATTTCCAACCCCATGCTTAAAGAAATCCGGAGAAAGTTGTCCATGTCGAGGTGGAAATTGAATTCCCGGGGAATTCGATATTCTTTTCAACGCCATGGGGGTGTACCACCCGACTCGCCAGATGTGGGCCAAAAAATGGGAGGAAAAGTCCGCCTACCCATATCAATTTTCCCATTTCGATTTCGGTTTTAAGTTCGTACTGGCTCGAGATTCGATTACCGGGACCTGGGATCGATCCTTGCCGATAGCATCGATGGGTATCGCAGAGGGACAGGGTGGACGCGTGGCAAATTGCCGGCCTCCGTTTATATGGGGTCCAAGGTGGGCCATGGGGGCAGGATGGGGTGCAGGGGAGGCGGCGATCTGTGATTCAAAGAGACCGATCCATCTTGCGACTTGCCAGGATTCAATCGCCGGCATTTGCTTGCGAAATCAGTCCCGCAGGACTCGTCTTTCGGACGCGGCCCCTCAAAGGGCGGCATCTGCACCACTCGCGGTATCATTTTTATTCTTCAGATAAATGAAGGAAAATTCAATCTAACAAAGAAAGCGTCCTCAATTTTTGTTGATTTCAACATGACAATACTTGCAAAAAATACGAGGGACGTGTTATTTTTTATCCTTTTATTTTCATTCGAGTTTAAGGAGTGGGACCACCCAAAATTACGTTTTCCGACGCTTTCTCGTAAATTACGGTGTGTTGGTGGAATTGATGAGATTTTACTGAAATTGATATCCCGTTTGCAAGAAAATGATAAAGAGAGGATATTATGGGGTATATTATGTGGGTCAAAATTTCAGACGTTTCGGTCTCCTGGTACAGAGAAGACTTAATGGGGTGACACCTTAAGGGATGCTGCGGAAATCTCGGATCCAAGTTTGGGTTTAAAATGTTTGAAAAATCTCAGGGCATCTCCCGAAACTGCTAATAGTGATCCTAGGGGGTTTTGGCTCGTGGATTTTGTTTATTATATTTCTGGTCCAGGGATGCGACGAGTATGTAAAGGAGGGGAAGGATCCTCGACTCACGAGCGTAGCGAACCTAATGAGGTCATATATATTTATTCAACGGGTGGGGTGGGTTTTATAGATGGCTGCCAAGGGGGAGGAGGCCGACGAACCCGGCTCGATTTTCGGAAAAGCGGAATACGCCGAAAGCGAGATAGATTCCTGCCCAGATCCGTGAGAGAACCCATAAACTGACCCCAGCCGCTCAGGAATCTCCCCTCGTCCTCACCCTCTCGGCGAACTACCCCATTTCCACCGAGCAAGAAAATTATTGCTCTCCTTATACATTCGTCCAGCGGGTCGGCTGGGTCGAATAATTCAGTACTCTCCATGATTCGAAATATAGGGAAAAAATCGGAGAAGAAATTAGGGAAAGACTTTTCCATCCGCGTCGAGCTTTTTTCTCATCCCCTCATTTTTACCGAAAATTATCGGAAATTTTTCCTTCGGGGATTTTTTTAAAAAAAAAGCCTCCACGAGGGACTCATTTTTTATTTTTCCGTTGTTTCTCCAGTTTCCTCGGGTCGGAGGGTATACCGATATATGATGTATCTGCATCCTTGCGTTGTCTGGGCACCAACGTTAACCACGTGGCACGCGAAAAGCAGAAGATTCCTTGGGTTAACTTTTATCGCGAACCTCATGAACACCAGAGAGTACAACGTCAGTGCTGGAAATGTGAAAAATGTGATAATATGCATTGGACGCATTATCATTGCGCCGATAAACATTTCATGAATATTCTTGCCATTTGATAATTTAAATATACCCACCCAAAGTCATTTTCCCACTGATGAATTTCGGGTGTTTCTGGGTGTCAGCGATCGCGGCGATCGGGATCATCCAGTTAAAAACTGGGCCCCAGAAGTGGGTGCTGGAAAGATTAGATAAAGAATTATTAATAAACAATAGCAAGAGAAATTATCAATTTTCTTATCCCTAACCAACTCGATGTGAATCACCCTCGGTGAGGAAAATCATTGCCAGGCGCATTTAACTCTTCAATTAATTGCAATAGTAGTCGGAATTGCTTTTGCTCCATAATTAGTTCATACGAATCAACGAGTTTTGCCAATTACATTAAAAGCTGAATTTAAATGTTTTCCCCAAACGTCACGGTTAATTTTGTTCGACATAAAATACATGTTAATACATGTTTGACATCGAAAGTATTTGGGGATTTTTAATAAACCCCAAGTACCTCATGAAGTAATCTCTCATCTCCTTGTCGCGCAATGCCTTTTTCACGTTTCTGGGTATCATGATCGCCGGATCGCCGACTCTTCAAGTCAGCAGAGTGAAATTGTTCCTCTCCTCGTCACGTATCGTGACGACATCCACCTCGGGATCCTGGTCCTCGTACGTCGTCTGCACGCGGAAGTGCAGCAGTTGCAGTTGCAGCTGCAACATGCGTTGACGACGTTGAGGGCCGATTCCCTTATCAGCCGTTATCTCACTTTTCACTATTCCTCCTGCCTCTTTTTCGAGTACCTCTCACACAGTATCTAATATGGCACACATACAATAATACATATAGACACGTGTAATAAATAATAACGATCATTACCTAATACGGATAAACTTATGACCTGGAATTTCCATTCAGGATCTTTTCTTTATTTTTTTTTTTACTTTTAATAGTCTTTCACGCGTCTTTGTCACCGTTTGACATTTCTTCTGATATGATTTCGGTTCGCTTTCCGAGGATTCTCGATTCACACTGGAAGTCCCGAAAAAAGAACCGGAACGGCAAGAAACGTTCGAGCGTTTCGCAATCGATTCTCGCTGGAAATTCGTCGTGGGGGGAATCGACCTCGAGCCGCTCGCATAATCTACGAGCTTGTTTGCATAATCGCGATTACGCACTTGGTGTCGCCGGGAAGGTTATTTTCCTCGCGAGTGCGCTCGAGAAATTCGATATCGGATATTTCGGAATTACGCAGGGGATATTAAACGTGAAAATTCCTCGAATGGTGGCAACATTATATTAACATCGTTCGGAGGCGCGTTAATTGATCCAATAAAAAATTCCAGAATTTTAGACATTAACGTGCAATTTTCTTGGGGGTATAATTTATTCTTTGAATTAATTCCTCATATTTATTTGGCCTTGTTTCATCGCGAATGTATAATTTTTTCCATTGGGCCTAGTCGATCAAGTGTCGAGTTTCGCGGGAATTATTCCTGCAGGACTCCTCGGGACCCGGCATAAATATTGTCGAGTCAAGAGGGAACGCGCATGTAAACGACATTTCGGAATTACGCACGGGATATTAAACGTGAAAATTCCTCGAATGGTGGCAACATTACATTAACATCGTTCGGAGGCGCGTTAATTGATCCAATAAAAAATTCCAGAATTTTAGACTAACGTGCAATTTTCTTGGGGGGTATGATTTATTTTTTGAATTAATTCCTTATATTTATTCGGCCTTGTTTCATCGCGAATGTATAATTTTTTCGGTTGGACCTAGTCGATCAAGTGTCGAGTTTCGCGGGAATTATTCCTGCAGGACTCCTCGGGACCCGGCATAAATATTGTCGCGTCAAGAGGGAACGCGCATGTAAACGACATTCCCGGCGACCCGGACGGGGTTGGAAATGGGAAGGTTGAAAATAGCGGCAATACCCTAGAGTGGCTCGAATGGTGGCTGGGGTCCTGGAAACCCCAGGGATAAGGATTTGCTTTCGGCAGGGAACGACCCTGGAAGGTAGTACAAGCGTGAATGCATATTCAGGGGGTCGCTCTCGCAGTCGCGGAAATTTTCGGGCGCTCGGAAAATCCCGTACCCCAGACACCAGACATTCACCAGCTTGCATAAATTAAAGATGTCCTATAAATCGAGAGAAACCGAGAAAAACCACCAACGATAAAATCCGTACACTTTATCGTCTCTAAATAATGACAATACAATACTTTAATAATTTAATCCATCATTTTTTAGATTGATTTCCAGGAGCCATCAAGCAGGATGAGCTCGAGTGGAGACTAGGGAATTAATATGAAATAATTGTATGGGGGAATTTTTGAGATCATTGGAAATAAGGGCGGAAGGTGGAGTAGATAATTTTGAGGGTAGGTTATAAAGGACGGATTTACCGGATGCGACGAGGAATTTTTTTTCTTAGTGAGTGGGCGAATTTTTGAGATTTAGAACTGGCGAATTTTGGGAATATGTGACGATGAGGAATTTTCGGGTCCAGGGCTCCAGCGGCCATTGGCACGCCGCTGGACCTCGAGGGGTTGTTCTCACCCTTCCGATCAATAATACCACCTCCGTTCGGGCGCATGCTCTTTTCTGCCCCCTTGTCCCCTCCTCTTCGAGGTCCAACCTCGGGAGAAGAGCCGAGAGAGAACGCCACCTACCCCCATGCAACATTCATACCGCCATCAATATTTTACGCGTGAAATAATAACTCGTGCATTTGTTATGAAAAAAGGGCCGACTCGTGTGGGGGAGGCGCCGACGACGGCGGAGCAATTACTCGATACTTGATAGTAATTACCATGCAAATCAGGGCCAAGCAATATGGATGCCGACAAACGCTGATGGATCACTTCGTGGGGGGTAAAAATTGCGCCTGTATGGCGAAGTCAATTTTGGGGGAGAAAGAGGGTTTCCAGGGAATAGAGGCATCCCTCTCGAATTATTCCATGATTCCATAAATGGCATATTCAATTTCCGGAATTTTTTTTTTCTTTCCCTAGCATTTCTAGTACTTTCGGCTATTTTCCTAATTTTCCGGATGCACTTTTTTTTTGCGATTTAATTGGAAATGGCGCGGTTGTGAAAATCAGATCTCGAGGAGGAGTCGAAAGGACACCGCTGATTTCTTCCTGATTCGCACCGTCTCGAGCCGACGCTTCTTTTTCTTCCTCTTTCAGTTTCTCTCCTCCTTCCGTATACTCGCCTTTTCTTTTTCATTCCTGCCTCTCTGAAATGCAAATCACCCGCGGACTGCGGCTTCTCCGATGCATTGTTAGGCTTATTTATGCACTTGTCGGGGAGTAAGTGTCCTCGTCAAGTCGGGTGCAGGAGGATGCAGATAACGTTGCAGTTGCAGCCCTTGATGTGCCGCCGGTTGGGCCATCCTTGTCACCCGATCTGTCATTTTGACACCTGCCAAATCAGACCACGAGTTCCGTAATGCCGAAGTAACCCCACCCGGAGAATTCGTGAAAAAATGAACGTCGCCATTTGGCGTATAAATGAAAAATATTGTATAAAGAAAAAATATTGTATAAATAAAAAATATTGTATAAACAAAAAATATGTAATGTTTTTTGATTTCGGCCTCGATATTTCCGTGTAAAATGATCGGTGCTACAGTGACAGGGAAATTTAGCGGTCTCCCGGAATTTTTATTCGTCTTTCCAGAGGCGCACTCAATTCCCGAGCACTTTCCGTGTCCGCCCTTTCAAAATACGTAAAATAAAATAACACCTCGAGAGCGTTTCGCCCCCTCCCCTTTCTCGGAGCTTTTCGCTTTTTCTCCCCCCCAGCCAGAAATATACGATGCCCGAAACGAGGATTCGATATAACTTGAGCTCCCTCGGCTCTGTCCGCGGAGACAAATCGTTTCGTATTTTTCCTGCTCTTCGGGGTACCAAGGAAAAGCTTGGATGATTTTAAATAAACATTTCTGACGTTTCGATTTGGTGATCGAAAAAATCGGGAGGCTGAATCCGAGACCGGGAAGGATCATTAGGGGAATAAATCCCGACCGTCGATCTCTGAGAAGCGGAAAAAAGCCTCTCTTCGTTCACCTCGTAAGTGCAATTTCGAAAAAGCCGAATGCACCGAGAGAATTACGAGTGAACGCCGGCCATTATTCCGCTCGATAAACCGATTCGGGCGCACTCACGAAATTATGTCCCTCCTATTTAGCATCAGCCCTTATCGAGGGGTGCGACCTCGAGGGGTGTCCTGGCGAAACTTTTAGGACCCGGATATATCCGAGAAAATTCCCAGGATCCGCATCTTCAGGTTCCAGGACGAAAGTCTAGGCGAATATAATTTTGTCCACCCCCTAGAACGTGAAGAAAAAAAATTCAAAACACGCGTATATGTCCCGGTAAAAATTATTTATTAAGGATCTGGGCACGTTAATGATTCCAAAATGAGGGGAAGTGCCGAGGGGTGGGAGGTGCATTATGCATCTTGGTGCAGCGGGAGGAGGGTGGAGCCGAGATCCCGAATGTTTAGGGGAGGTTTATAAATATGGAGGTGTAGGTGGTACGAATAATATCCTGCGTATTTTCCCTCGGTTACTGAATTATTATACGATTCATGTTTCGAATTGACTCACAAAATACAAAGCGCGCCTCCGGGGGATGTTATTGTAAGGGAGGCTGCGGAGTGCAGTGGAGATCAGTCCGGGCGGATATACCCGGACGGAGGTTCCAACCTGGTATTTTTACAGCGCGTCGATGTGAATGGGACGCCCGTAAAGATAGGTATTTTTCCTATCTGCAGGAGAGAACGATTCCCTGGGATCGATTCTCCGGGGTGGATTCTGCGATCCGGAATAGGATCCTGGCTTTATTCCGCCCTGCGCCCTGCCCTCTTCTCGTCTTGTCCTCGACGTTGGAGTCCCGGGGAAAGAATTACGCATGAAAAGTATTACACCCCGGAATTACCGATGATGAATTATTTCTTCGAACGTGATTAACCGTAATTTAATTATTGTTACCTGCATCTTGTGTAAAATTCGTATTTTCTGGATCCTGATTGGAGAGGGGATTACACCTTGAAGTTTGAAGGGACGAAGAGGGTGGAGGGAAAGAAAGGCCTAATTTCGGACGAGGAGAAAGCACATCGGCGTTCAGGAATCCAATATAGCGGAATCGAAGAGTCTTTGGAAGGACACGAGTGGTAATTTGACTGGGGAATCTCGGCCAGGATGCCGAAGAGCCGAAGAGACCCTCTTCTCTTTACGGCAGAATGACGAGGACTCTTGGCATATTTCCGGCAACCCCCCCGAAGGACCTCCTTCACCAGGTGATAAAAAGGGATTCCGTAGGATTAATTCCTCGACAAGGAATCTCTTTCCAAAAATCTGAAACCAAGAAAAACAAAAGAGGTCCCCGAGAATAATCCGCAGGAAGTCCTGCGAAGGTCCTGTCTAATAATTTGCGTCGGGAGTGCTGGCCCCCCACCTCCTCCGAGGAGGTCCTGCAGGATAACGAGAGCTCTCCATTCTCTCATCCTGCAGCCACTTCCCGACTTATTCGCCATCGCCTCGTCCTTTCCGACTTAATCCAGGACCTCCCCTCTCCAGAGCCTTCCCTCACCCTGGCATCTTCCAGGACTAATCAGGAGTCTCTCAATTTCCTCCTCCACGCGCGTCCAGCCGACCTTAAAAATCCAGGACTCCCTTAAATCGAGATTCGAAGTCGGAGTTTACTCGAGGACCCGAGCCAACAGGACACGCCGACGAAGAGGGGATTTTCCGAAAGGGAGGACCGACTCCCTTATTTTCCTTTTCACTTAAAAGGACTAAGAATAAAAGGGAGGGGAGAAATAAACTAAAATAAATAAAAAATCGGAGTCTCGTCCCAAGAGAGAAAGAGCCGAGGTCGGTCCACGTCCTGGGAGGACCTCCGCCCCCCAGCCCCCCGTTTCGATCGGAGAGAATAGGTACATACGGGATCAGCTCCCCCTACCCCCCATCCCCCACCCCCGGAGAGGATCGAGAGAGCTCGGAACCAATAAAAATGCCCGACATTCCCCGAGTCTAACGGCT